CGGTGTACCTGGATCTGCACACAAGGTGCAGGGAATATTGTGAGTACTTCCAACCCAGAAAGTAATAAACATAAATAAGGGTTGAGAGTAAGAAATCCTGGACAGGCACAAAGTAAGCTATAATTACAGCAGCTCAATCTAAATCATATTAACTCAATAAACTAATGAATACAATTATAGAAATATCACAACAGATAAATAAGTAAATGGCAATCAAGTATGCAATGCAACACATAAACCGGTACCTCTAGTACCCGCTGCGGCCGTGCAGCCCGCTCCATTTATTTAACGTCGAAGGCGCTCACTGGGGGTGTGCAGACTTCGGGAGGGGCCCCTTACGGCCCAAGCGCAATAATAAGCCATCTCGTGGCATCAAACAGGCCCTTGGCCTCATATCAATATCATTATAATACTGCTGCGGCGTGTAGCCCGATCCCATACCAGTCCAAAAATCACACAATAGTATAAAAATATTCAGCCCAAACTTCATTTAAAAAATATTAACTTAATTTCTAATTTAAGAAAAAGGCTGAGATTTCAAACACAGTATTAAATACCAGGACTGAGTTTAATATTTATAAATATGGTAAGAAACCATTAAAATAATCCCTGAAGGATTCAAGTAGTTGGCACGAAGCCCAATTATGACAATTAATCCATTTTTATAAGGATATTACAAATCTACAATCAAATAGGTACTAATTTTATTAAGCGGGACGGACCAAGTCACAGTCCCTGACGGTGCTCTACCCCACGCCCGTTATCCGGCGTGCAAGTCACCTCACATAGCACTACGATATGCAAAATTCGGGGTTGCAAACCCTCAACACAGCATTTACATTTATTACTAACCTCAAGCCGGCCAAAGTCCTAGCTTGCTATGCCCTTGCCTTTCGAATTCACCTCTTCGCGCGTTGAATCTGACAAAAACCACAACGAATACGTCACAATATGCTAAGGGAATATAACCCAATCGAAGAGACTCGAAAAACATCGAAAATCACGAAGTTGGCAAAACCCGAGCCCCGGGCCCACGTCTCTAAAAATTACAAAATTCACATCACCGGATTCCTCGTCTCGCCACGAGTCTATACATATCAAATTTACCACAATCCGAGTCCAAATGACCCTTCAAATTCTCATTTTTGTTCTCTTAGGTTTCAAGCCCTAAACCACCATTTTTTTACCTTATTTCCTTAAGTTTTCAGTGAAATTTCATGTTTTTGCATGATAAAATTGTGTTCTAAGTCCAAGAATGCTTACCTGATCGAAGTCCTTGAATTTCCTCTTCAAAATCGCTCAAGAACACCTCAAGTCCGAAGTCAAAATATGTGTTCTGTAAATATTTCGCGAAGGGAATTAAAATCCTTTCTGACCAGTTATTTCCGCATCTGCGACTTCCGCTTTTGCGATGGGGAGTCGCTTCTGCGGACAAGACCGCTTCTGCGGTCTCGCATCTGCGATTCCTTTTACGCAGGTGCGGTTTCCTGTAGCCTTCCAAAATTCCGCATCTGCGGTCCTACTGTCGCATCCGCGACTTCGCAGATGCGGTCAACATCTCCGCACCTGCGATGCCTGTCGCTTCTGCGGTTCTTGACTCGCTTCTGCGGTATCGCTTCTGCGGTCCCATTTCCGCAAGAGCGAAAATACCAGAAGCAGCACAGGTTCTGCAATCTCCTAAGTTCAACACTTCCCGTTAGCCATTCGAAATCACCCCGAGGCCCTCGGAACCTCAACAAAAAATACAAACACGATCCAATACCTTATTCAAACTTGCTCCAATCATTAAAACACCTCAAACAACACTAAAACCATCATTTCTCATCGAATTCAAGCCTAAGTTCTTCTAAAACTTCCGAAACACGCATTCGATCAGAAACCCAACCAAAACACCTCCTTATGACCTGAAATTTTGCACACACATCCAACATCACCTAACGAAGCTACAGAAACTCTCGGAATCTCATTCCGACCCCCGGATCAAAATCTCACCTACCAACCGGAATTCGCCAAAATACTAACTTCGCCAATTCAAGCCTAATTATACACCGAACCTCCAAAATCAATTCCGATCGCACTCCTAAGTCACAAATCATCCCCCGAAGCTAACCAAATCATCGGAATTCAATCCGAGCCCTCTAACACAAAAGTCAACATCCGATTGACTTTTCCAACTTAAGCCTTCTTAAAAGAGACTAAGTGTCTCATTTCTTATCAAAACCATTCCAAACTCACTCTAACACATCAAATGCTGATAATGAAACATGAAGAAGCATAACATGGGGGAAACGGGGCGGTAACTCACGTGACGACGGGTCGGGTCGTCACACACGGGGAAAGGCGTTTCGCTTCGACGCTATGACAGTCATGATTACTGTCTTCTGCCTGTCACGTCACAAGTCATTGACAAAGTCAAACTCTCCCCGAACGGAGGTACCAATTCCGCCCATCGAGGACGCATTCCCTGCGACCCCGACGAGCGGAGGGACTAACTGTATGGGTCGAATTTGACCGCGTCCTTAAGCCAGCACGACCGACCGAATATATGTGAGTCCGGCTAGAAGGGCGACTTAGGAATAACAAGAGGGACGACTTCATGATCACGTCGGCCCCTCTATAGCATGTACTTTATTTTCTGTCTTTTAATATTCAAGTAATGATCCTCTATTATATAAAGAGGGGTCCAAGCCTTGTAAAGGGAGGATTTTGATTGTTGGAAATACAATAACTCTCTCTCTTATCTCTCTAGCATTATCTCTCTCTTATCTCTCGAAGATTATCACCTTCTCTTATCTCTCCGATTTGTATTATTGTTGTCTGATACAATACCCAAGATCATCCTAGGGTTTATTATCTTCGACTATGATTTACCCCTTCATCTATATTGATTGATTTGCTTAAAAAGTGTTAAACAACTTTTGAGTCAAACAATACTTGCATTGTTAACCCATATATTACTAATTTCTATATTATTAATACACTATATTCAACATTATTCATATACAACCTACCAAACGATCCCTAAAAGTCTTAGATGATTGTTTGACACTTACTGCTCACGGGACAGGCTAAGTGAGAAAATTACTATACAAAACAAGAAGGGATGAGTAAAGTTATTTTGTCCATCGGTTTACAAGAGTAAGTAAATAATGATTAGCACAACAGTCATTTTTTAAGAGATATTCCACTTTTCAAGAGCCAACAAATCACTTCTTCTCATTTGACGCTTCTTTTTTATCTTTGTACCGACGTCCCTTTATTCACGTCATTGCTTTAATAACAATCACTTAAATAAATAATAGATCTCAAAATTTTTAAACGTTTATATGAACAAATTAAATTTAAGAATATGATAATCTTATTCGACAAATTATAGTCATGATCTTTAATATGGTGTATAAATCAAGTTAAAGTCTCTGATACTGCCTACTGGACCCAAGTTTTCCATCCATCATATTATTACTCGCAGGCCTATGTAACGTACCAAAGCAAAGTTGAAAGCTAAACTAAGCTCTAATTCTGTCACTTTATCCATGCCAAATTTTAGCAAAACTTTAATCCCAGTATTTTGGCCCCGTTTGGCCATGAGTTTTCTCAAAATAAATTTGGAATTTATTTTGAAAACTAATGTTTGGCCATAAATTTTGCTCATATTTTTGTCAAATCCCAAATCCCAAATTTCAAATCCCAAAATCTCAAAACTTGGGAATTATATCCATGTTTTTCCAAAATAAAGTTAAAAAATATGTTTTGAAAACATATGTCCAATCACATTTTCATCATCAAACCAAACTTCACCCAAATCAAATTTTTCAAAATAAATTTGGAATCTATGGCCAAACGCTAGCTTTATATATGTTGTTCGCACTCTTCATTTTCAATGTTATACTCATGCCGATACGATGTAAATATAGGTGCGATGTGGGTACGAGATCCGTATCGAGTCTTATCATCAATATTGGGTACTTTGACCCAAATCAACGAAAAAATTCGAGAGAGATACACTCATATTTTAAATCAAAATAATAAATACGTGAAACTCAAAAAAATACCTTGTATCTAGAAATTTCAATATCAATCCATCATTGTTTGTCTCTGTCTCGATTCTTTTCTTTGATTAATATTTTTTCCCTCTTGCAACACCTTTTAAGTTTTCCATAAATCTATATAATGTCTCATAATTTAGATATATTTTTATAACTTTTAATTTAGATATTTAAATTATTTTAGGTTGAATCCCGCCACCCGTACCACTAGATCCACATCACCGAACTCAAAACTTGATATCACGAAAGATCCGGCCTCTAGATACACACTCGTGTCCCACAGGTCTAACTAATAGCGTGTTTGGCCAAGCTACATAAATCAGCTTATTTTGAGAAGTATTTTTTTTCAAAAGTACTTTTGGTGAGAATCAGTTTGTGTTTGACTTAATAATGTGAAATATACTTTTAAGCAACAATTAATGTTTGGCCAAGTTTTCTAAATTGTTTTATAATATATTTTTCTCAAAATTATTTTTCAAAAAAATATTTTTGGAGAGAATCTATTTTTTCTGCTTCCCTTCAAAAATAATTGTTTTTCTTCCAAAAGCTCGACGAACCACTTCAGTTTTGATAAAAAAATACTTATTTGAAAGGAAAATTCAAAAAAAAATAAATCTAGAATTGGAGAAGCTTGGCCAAACAAGCTATAAAATCCACTCAACCTTTTGAAGAATTGCTCAAAAAACACATAAAGGTGACAAAGTTTCAATTTTTTTAATATATATTTAAAAACATATTACTCGAGTTCTTGTACAAGATAACTGGTGAGTGAAAGCAGGGCCACCCCCATACTGAATTCTGACATATTGCTATCAACCTTTCTGTCACAGTTCCACCAACTTACTTACACTAAAAAAACGACTGCTATAACCATATATGAATAATCAAATCACCGTAAAAGTAAAGAATTAAATCCCACCAAAAAAGGTAAAAAGTAACATCTACAAGAAAGGTAAAAAAAAAAAAAAAGATACTCATTTCATGTACACTACTCATATCACTTTTGTTCATTTCATCAGTCAGAGGATTTCGTCAAAAAAGTACACCAAAAAAAGATCAAATCAAAATCCCCCTGACAAAAGGGTTAAAAAAAATACACAAAGAAATTAATGAATTTAACTAATTTTGTTTTTTCAATTTTCATCTATTTTTTTGTCAAATCAAAGCCTCAATACTTGCTTTTTTCGCTATTCCACAAACAGGACATTGAGTAAGAAAAGAATCACAATCTTTGCATGTAGAAAGGTGTCTACACGGCAAGAAAATCATGCACATTTTACGAGAATTGCAGCTTTTACACTTCATTTTTCTTGTTTGTTCTTCTTCCCTATTTTCCTTTTCATTTTCATGGCCAAAATCACAGCATGATTCTGCATCTTCTGCTGCTGCTGCTCCATTTGCTGATGTTAAACAATAAACACCATTTTCTCTTAGCTGTTCGATTGTGTTGTTTAGTGAAACGACAATGGCTTCGTTTTGTCGAGCTATTTTCTGCCATGTTTGGTTCTCTATCTCCATCTTTTGTAAAAATTCTTCCAACTCTTTCGTCCTGTTTGCTGCCTTAGCGATTTCTTCGTCTTTCTGTTTTAGAAGAAATTGAACTTTTGCTTCGTATTTTCTCCAGATCAATGTCAGCTGTTGCTTTCTTTGCTCGTTTAAAACCAATCTCAATCTTTCATTCTGTTATTTCAAAAATCAATCGTTAAATTTCTGCAAATAAAACATGAACGAACAAAAAATTTGATAAAATCAAATACAAAAAGAAAAACAGAAAAGGAATATTAGAATCACAAACCTGTAAACTGATGAACTGATCAATCTCAATACTCTGTTTCTGAAACTGTGACGCTATACACTGAGAAAAAGGCGTCGATTCAGTTCCGTTGTTGTACTGTTTAGGAACAATGTTCATCAAATTCTGATTGTTTTTCTGCGGCAGAATTTGCAGAAACGACTGCTGTTGAAAATTTTGTTGAAGGTGTTGTTGCTGTTGAGGACTAAAAGAAAACTGATTAAATCCACAACCATTCTCCATCAAATCTTGCGAACCACCCAAAGGAAAACCAAAATTATCTGTATATAACTGTGCTTGAATAGCCATAATTTTTTCACCACCAAATCAGCTATAAAGAAGCAGCAACAAGAAACGAAACATGGGTCTAATTTTTGTGATGTGTTACTTCGTTTAAGGCTAGGCCAAAGATATTAAAAAGGGAAAAAAAAAAGCATTGAATCTCTGGTCCGTTCTTCTGACTTTATATTATGGTGAATAATTTGCTTTTTCTTTAATTGAAACTGAAAACCTGAAAAAGGGGCAGAGGAGGGAGGATTCTTTCTCTCTTTCTATTGTTGTGACGAGAGAGCATTTAAAGAAAAGAAAAGAGAGTACGTACACATGCAGATTTTGTGACTTGACTATCGGGTCAGAGATTCAGAGAAGGGAAGATAGGAGTCTGTTGAAGTTTAATTTATTTATATAATAATAATAATAATAATAATAATAATAATGGAATTAATATGAGAAAGAAATTTAGTTGTAATTCAATTACCATTCCTAATTATGGGGTTTTGAATTGAATGAGTTTTTCGGTTGTCGTATTTGAGGCTGAAAGTATGTGTGAACAAAGGCAGTATTTTAGGATTTAATATTAACTGTGAAAGGGTCAGCTTCTTTTCCGTTTTAAAAGATTAGAGGGAATCAAAGTTTTGTCATTTTGTGACTTTGCTCTTTTGCGAGGCCTATAGAATAGGATTTTCACTTCTTTTTTTTTAAAAATTATTTATAAATAAAATTTGGAAAATAAGTTTTTATAGTTTGGTATAATTTGATCCATTTAGAGCCCGTTTGTACATAAGAATTTTTCACCTTTTTCGAATTTTTTTTTATTATTTTTCGAAATCAGTATTTGGCATTAAAATTTCTAATTTTCACTTGAAGATGAATTTTAAATTTTTTTGAAATTTTAAAATTCCAAAAAGCTATTTTTCAAAATTTTCACTTAGATCACTCATAAAACTTTAAAAACAATCCAAATTTATATTCATGTCCAAACACAGCTCTAATTTTCAAATATCATTTACACTTGAATTTTGTTTTACTTTTTATTTTTGGGAAATTTTACAATTCTTATGACCAAATGCCCACTTAATTGTGACAAATTTTTTTATTTCAAATTACTAACACTTATTTAACGAAAATATGTTCTTGCTTGCTGTAAAAATAATCTGATTGTATAAATATTTTTTATATGGTTTACGGATAAAACATTTGAATTTGAAAAATAAAGTTAAATTTACTTATATGAATCTATCTGTCCTTGTGAATACTTTTCAAAGTCAAATATATAATAGAAATCAGAATCAGATTGTGAATTGTTTGTAATGAATGAATTTCAAAAGTAATTATCTAATGAAGAAGTTGTTAATTTGTTTTCCCAAACCTTTTTCTGGCAAATTCATTAGTGTATTGTTAGGAGATAAAGTCAAATCTATAAAACTTGCCAGATAAGAACATGAATAAAATTTATAGCAAGTGATATACCCCAAATTAAAGGACTTATTCGAATGAAAATCTAATGAATGTCATTTTCTCTAACTGAATTGACAAGCTAATAAAACACATTTTTTTTGTATATTTCTTTTCAATATTCTCTTTTATCGTCCTTTACGCTGTTTTGAGTTATCCTTTTTATTTACTTTTAATTTAAATATTTGAGATGATTATAAATAAAACGATAAGGACACGGATAATTCATATGACTGATCCTAACAATATTAGAATTGAAGTGTAGTAAGATTTGTTGTTAGACGCATTTAAATATTTCATGCCTATAATGGTGAGTCGTGTCTATGAAGATTACGATTTATGATCCAAACGGATAGATTCAATAAATTAATATTCAGATTAAGAAATCATGAATTTACAAGGTCAACAATGAATTTAGGTGTTCCGATTTTGTTCATTTCATAATAATCGCTGTCCAATTAATAATGCTGACTAGCCATTCATAGTTTGTTATTTTCTAATAAATAGAAAATGTTAATAAATGTGAGATTAAAAAGTATGCGATTTTATATGATTAATTAAGGTTTTTAGCGCATGATTTCTCGTTTATTAATTTGCTTGTCTTCTTTCCTGAAAGGAAATAAATAATCTTCCTAAGTTCTCAATAGATTAATGTGGGAAAAAAATACAGTGTAAATAAATTAATAAATAACGTTTACATTTTACATTATTATCTCATGAAGTATATAAGGATATGGACGGTAAATACTTGCCCACACCGAGTGTTTACATCAAATTATATTAACTCACTATGATTAATTAATTTAATTAGATAAAAATACATATAATTTACCATAATTAAATAATTGAAGTTCATATGCAAGACTCCGGATATAGACCCTATATATCGTTTATGGCTGTTAATGTCTCGTCTTTATAAGAAAAGTAAAGAAAAAAACGGGTCTATTTAGCACACCTATATTAATTGTCAATATAGGAAAGGTTCATTTTTAATTTTTATGTGCCAAATGTCAAGAATTTTTAGTGGGAAGTTGAAGTTTTGCTTTCCCATATTTGTCAAGCTGTTTGGCACTGCTTGAAATAGACATAATTGATGATGAAACCTATTTTTGTTATATATCGCTAATAAATATTTTTATTTGGCACAAACTTTTTGACTAAGTTTCAAGTTTTGTTATAAAGTTTCAAGTAAGTAATAATAACGATCACATCTTAAGCCTTTGTTTAATTTTGCCAATCTTATCTGAATGATAAATTGATCAAATTACATACTTATCTAAACTGAAAATAGTATTAGTAAAAGCTCACGCAAAACTAAACATAAAGGATGTATTATGTATCTTAAATATTGTGAAAGTGATAACTTTAAGATAAAGGATGAGAATAGTTGGAGAGACATAGAGAACACATGAATAAAGCAATTGAATTGATATAGCCTTTTTTTTTTTTTTTTGTTAGGATTAAGAAATTTGTTCATGATTCATCAATTTCTTGCTTCTTACCCTTCTTAAATTAAATGTATCGTGCACATTCATACGCTTAACCTATCTCCTTTCATTTTCAAATTTTATTTCCTAGGAGTCACTTTTGAAAACCGTATTAAATATCATATTGGATAATTAATCATGTATTTCGTTTCCTTTTAATTGGCTCTTTTATATAAAATATAAGAAACGAGTTGAAGGCCAGCTCACTTGATGAGCTCATGTCTTTTACAGTTGAGGCGGAGGGTTCAAACTTCATTAGTAATGTAATATCCCCTTTCCCTCCCTCTCCCTCTCTTTCTCCCCCTCTGCTGATGTAATATTAAATAAAAAATAACAATCCGACATTATTATAAGTACATCAAATTTCATTTTTAATTAGCACTTTCATATAAAATATAAGAATCGAGTTGAAGACTATCTCACTTGATTAGTTCTTGTCTTTTATAATTGAGGTGGAGGGTTCGAACTCCATTAGTAACGTCCCCTCCCCTTTCCCTTTCCCCTTCCCCCTCCCCCTTACCTGTTGTAATAATAAATTAAAAATAGTAATCCGACATTACCATAAGTACATCAAATTTCATATTATTATTTTAAAGCGCGGAAAAACTTATGGTACAATGTAATGGAATCAAATTCAAGTTTGAAGTTGGAAAAATAAAAGCTGATTTGATCTAGTTGCAAGCCAAATATGGTTGTTGTATGATCACGCCCAACTATGCCTTATAAAAAGGACAATGCGGACGTTGCAAATATAACCTGAGTATTTATGCCTAGAGTCGAATCCCACAGAGAACTAAGGTTTAGCTATAGTTGTTCAATATCGCTAAGAAATACAAGCCCAAACAATTTCCTAATTATAAAAGATTATAATATTTATTTTTTTTATCCAATTAACTAACAAATACTAGAAAGCAATAAAACTATCAATTAACAAGGATAAGGGTTGGAGTCGAGATTAAGGAGGTCTACAGTTATGATTTTCCCAATTGTCGGAATCCTTCCCGCTACGTTTTCTATAAATTCGCCTAAGTATTCTCCACCGATCATGAGCGCTCTGACTGTCATAACTCTCTCCCGAGTAATTACCACAATTACTAGACGCACTCTCCCGAGTTACGCTAGCTGGCTTTGTTTATTACAACTCACTTTAGATTGCACCCAAGGCTTCGTTATCCCTAATCCCGCCTTTAAACCCGCAGTTATAGATCCCTCTTATACTTTGGGAGTGGTGTTGTTCAACAACTACCTAAATATGCACTCTCTCCCGAGTTATGCACACTAAATAGGCACAGCTAATTGAGGATCCTGTCAATTAACTACAACAAACACGTAGTTGAACAAATAGAGAAAATACTACCGCTCAATTATATAAAAATAACAAGAATTTATCCTACAAAAGGTTCCATCAAAACCCTAAATAACAAATTAGCTATTCATAATAGCATGTAAAACTACAATACTAAAAGTCATAACCAACAATGAAAAATAGGAAGAGGAAGGAAAAAACTCGTAGAAGAATTCTCCGCCTTGCTCCCAATGTGTTCTTGCCTCCAAGGGTGTTGTCTAACCCTAAAGTAGTGTCTCCCCGCCTCCTTAGGTCTAATTTGTGTCAAAAATATGTCCCTTTCTTGTTCTTGGCCGGCCTCCTTTGTTTAATATAGGGTTTAGGACTTAAAATCCCATGTTTTGCACTTTAGTCCCTGAAATTTTCGCTTCCTGCCGCGGTTTTGCCGCGGTCGCGGTAGAACCGCGGCCAAACATGCCCTCTGATTCTTCAGTTGTCCGCGAGTACACTCTGTCGCGGTTCTGCCGCGGTCGCGGCAAAACCGCGATTTTTTACCCTGTTCCGTTTGGAATTTGAAAACACGTAAAACGTGAAAGTTGTAGCCCTTTGAGTTAGCTTTCTAACCATATATTGTGGAGCCCAAATGGAGTTCTGAGCAAAAAGTTATGTCTATTTTACTAGACAGTGCGCAATATGCCTCCTCAAGTCTTCGTTCGTACTTAATTATCAAATTTGACCTCCGAACACGATCCCGGCTTAATTCCTTGAGCTTTTACTCAGACTTCAAAGCTTCAAATCACTTAAATTCATTCCATAACATATATATAGCTCGGAATCACACCTACAAGGCATAAAACACACAATTAGTGCAAAACACTAGCGATTAAAGCGCAAACTCAATTAAAGTGCAGTAAATTCGAGTGTAATAAGCGACTAAAATATGCAATTATAGCCTATCATCATTGTATGATTTCAGTTTAGTAGGATCATGGACTAAACAGTCAAGATAATCCATATGTTATTTAATTATATTTTAGTTAATATTTCATGTGTTATTTAATTAATTCCGTGCTTATCTATTAGTGTATTAGGAAAAGTATATTTCCTACCTAAAACTACAACTAGCTAGTAGCCCAAATACCAATTTTA